CCCCAAAACCCCAAAACCCCAAAACCCCAAAACCCCGGATAAATATTAACTAATTGGACAAATTATAGATAATCTATTAGTTTACTCGTAAAGATGGTAGATTGCTTTTTGATCGTGTTTATAGCTCACGCTTGTGGTTCGGAAGGGGTTGTGACAACCTGAACATTGCATATCGTTACTGAGTCTGAAGCCTTCTTGTAAGAGTTCTGCGTTAGTTGCTTCTTGACGAACTCTAGCTAGGCTTGTTATTTTGTGATGGATTTCACTTTCAACTTTTTGTTTCTCTATTTTTCGGAATATAGCCTGAAAAGCATTTAAATGAGCTGATGTTAGGGTTTCATCTTCTTTTAAAATCTTTAACAACTTTCTATACGGTATTAGATCAGCTTTGGATTCAAGCAAGGAGATAGCATGTGAATGCAAGTTGCCATCATAATATGCTTCGAATAATTTGAAGTATACATTAGGATCTTTATGTAGCTTATACACTTTGTTAGCGATTCTCTTACAAAGAGAAGCATCACAATCTTTGATACATATTTCAAATGCTTGAGAGTATCTCTTATCACAAGCAAGAACAAATGCAACTTCTTGCATCATATATTCAAAAGGAAGCTCAACATAGACTTTACTGAGATTGTATTTCTTATTTGATTCTAAAAATTTCATTAATCGCTTCCTAAGATCTCAGATCTCTTTATCATTTTCAAGTTCGTTCTTGTCAACTAAGTCCAAATATTCGTACTTCTCTTTGGCAATGGAGTCAATCATACTGACGTAGGAGAGGGCAAGGTCAGTGTAGTAATCAGATTCAGAGATTTTATACACCATTGTCAAGTATTCTAAGTACTTAATCTTTAAATTAATAGATCCCTTCTTCTCTATCATCTCAATTAGCTGCTTATTATACAAAGGAGGAATTTCCTTGAAACCCATTAAGGATTCAATTACCAAGTCTTCTGCATTCTCTTGAAGTAGAAAGAGTAGATTACTCTGGATAAACCTTTTGGATGGGGTACCTTCTATGAAATCCTCCTCCCTGATTTTCTTGAGGTACTTACAATATTCTTTAAGCCACTTGTCATCTCTGGTGTTCTCATAGAACTCTTGGATGTTGTACATTAGTCTGTTATACTCCTTATTTTATGAAGAGGAACCTTCAAACATCGGCTTGCATTTTATGCTTGATCAATAGCTCTGTACAAAAGTCAACGGGAAGATAATTTTCATTATAAATCAGCATGAAGAGCTCATTTCTGTAATGATCAGTGCTATCAGGATCTTCTTTTTGTAGGATCAATAATGCATGGAAGATATAAATCTCTCACATCATTGATAGGAATAGGAGTAGGCTGAAATTAGTGTCGTTATCCATCTCCATATCTACAAGAGTTGTCTTTGGCTCAATACAGCTAATATCTCACTTCGATTGCCTGTTGGCATTCAAAATTGAAAAATTCATTTCTTCATTATTTGAATCATTCTCTAGCATATTACTTAAAAATCCAGAAGTAGTTTTCTCTGGACCAATACTCTCAGTTCGCTTATACAGAACACTTTTTCTAAAACTTCTTCCTTTAGTATTTACTTGTGATTCTGATTTCTTGAGAGCTAGAGTCAACGCAGGAATCTCAATCAAGCTAGCTGTCTTTTTAATATTCTTAAGCTTGCGTGAGAGCTCTTCCTTACATTCAATGAAGTAAATAATAAAGACCTGTAAAGCCTTAACTTTCTCTTCCCCTATAAGAGTTCCAGACGCACAAAGGCATTTATCATTGTAATTTCTTTTAACAATCTATGAATCTACTTCATAATACTTACCATTTTTGATTTATTTTGGAACCCAACGTGGGAAATTGTCCTCTTCCTCTTATGAGAAATCTTAAGTGACTCGATCATCGGACTATAAACTGCTAATTTATTCTTCAAATAAGGTATGTTATTAACCTCGATACCAAACTTATCAATCATTTGATCAATAGCAGGTTTATGGTAAAGCTCTGTGAACAGCAAAATAATTTCCTGAGTTGGGACTTTCACTTGTCTAAACAATCTCAGGGATAATTTATAATTCTTCTTGACATAAAATCAGTAAAATGCCCTGCCCTTTTGGAAATCATTGAATTCTGCAGCACGAAGCCTTTCGTAATTCTCACTCATCAAGAACTCACAGATTTTCATTGCTGTTGAATATAGCTGGTTTTCAATCAGCATACTCACTTGGCTTTTTCCTTCAATCTGGGAATACTCATAGATTTGGTGTCTTTTCCTCGAATTATCAGATTTTTGTGTGGAATATACCAAAAGTGATCCGAGTCGAGTTAGAGCTCCATTCTGATGTATCTCAATATTCACTGTAATCTTGGAGTTCACAAAGATATTATCCTTAATGCTTTGGACTACTCGGTTTGGATTGTACATTCATTTTAACTCAATTCCGTCTTCCATAACACCGACCAGATAAGGTCTGACAATGAGTACCTCTTTCGGGGTGCCTGACTTCCAGACTATCTTCATACTGCTACTTTTATTAATACTTCCGCTTTTCCAATCAACATAGTAAGAATTCCTAGCCTTAGAAATCAGAAAGGCTTTAACAGAGTTAAGGTAAATAATATGAGCAGTTTTCTCTACAAGTTCCTTAGCTAACAACTTTTGGCTTTCCATCTGGATTTTCCCATTCTCATCAAAATTTAGCTTGATAAATTCGTAATTATCAGGGTAAGAAATGATCCCTCTGTCTTTATACATCATGAAGTCTAGGGGCTGTTTCTTCAGCTTCACCTTTGCAATCTTTGAGAATGCCCAATATCCTTCTAGTTGAAAAATATGGATATATTTGTTCTTAGTCAGTAATGAGATTTGGGGCTTGTCAGTGATGTGAAAACAATAATCAATTACGTTCGTTGTATCAAATCTGTAGTACAGGCTGAGGTTGTCATAATTCCACCATTTTACATATCCATTGACCAGAGATATTAGAATTGTCGCTGTGAAATCATCTTCTTGAGGGTTATAATACTGGACTTCAAGCTTGGTGACTGGTTTCCCACTAGAAGTCAGCTGATGTACTTGTCCAAGCATCTTATTTATCCTCAATACTATACTCTCTACAAGTGCCATCTGAGTACCCAAATAATATAGTCTTGCCATTACTTGCTAATGAAGTAATCTCAATTTCATCTTCTTCATTATTAGACCAAATTTTTGAAAAAAATCCTGAAAAATATCCTCTTCCTGTCTCAGCCTTCCTCTCATCCACTTGGTCCTCTCTATAAAACAATTTAAATCTCAAAATCCCCAAATCCACCCCTAAAACCCTCTCAAACTCCCCACCTAACCCCCTCCTCCTCAGCTCTCCCTTCTCCCTTATAAAATCCCTTCTAACCCACCCCAAAACCCCACCCAAATTCCTTACCTCTTTTCCTCCTCTCTTCCCCTTCCTTCCCCTTCAACCCCTCTTCTATCTTCCACTCCCACATCCAAATCCTTCTCCAGATCTTCCCTATTAAAGAAACTATGGTAATAAGTGCTTTCATTAAGTTCATCGGAGAAATCATGCTGGCTTTCAGTTGAAGAGTCTTCTATACGTCTGCGGTTCATTTTTTTAAGTGAGGTTTTGTAACAATTTTTATAATTTTGTAGGGGTTTTGGGGTTTTGGGGTTTTGGGGTTTTGGGG